CTAAACGACATCATTAATTGTCTCTTCTAATGTAAATCCTTTAAAACAGCAAAATAAAATTTCCCTAATTAGCGTAATAATCCATCCCTCTTTCAGTGCTCCTCATCGCGGTCAGCGGGTTCGCCGGCTTGATAAAATCCGCCCATCTGCGGAATCAGTACCCGGATGCGCTGCGGGTCGAATGAGGAAAATTCTATTGTATTTCTGTCATTTTCTCGTATTTTGAAATGTATTGAAAAGTGACCGGTAAAGGAATGGCAGAATCCAGCTATTTCGAAAAAGATAAAAAATGTGTTTCGACAATTTTTTATGTAAAATTTTTTTTAAAAATCTAATAATTTCAGAATGATCGCTTTGTTCCGTTCCGCGTTAAATTCAAATTTCTGCCTTCTCGGTCCCTTTAACGATGGATTCGGGAAGTTTGAATTGCTTAATATTTTTGAAGCAATTTTATCCTATGCATATTTTGTCGAAAACCTTCCGGATCACCCTAATTAACATAAAGTTTAAATATTATCTCTGGTTTTTCATGTATTTTGGACCAGTTCCAATTAGCATAACCGCTCATAACCTTACCCCCATTAATTCGCCATTCTTGTTCAGTTACCCCTGAAATAATCTATATATGCAAATTGCCATCCCCATTTTCAACAGCAAGCCGGTAGCCGCAAAAATATTCAGTTTTTATTCGTCTGTTAGTTGCATTTTTGTGTGTTTCACCACATACTACTATAAAACTACTTAGAAGTCTACTTAATGTTCTTTGCCTAATCGTTTCCTGTATTTTTCCCCAGCATATGAAGTTGCTCAAGAATTTGGCTCTCGCTCTCTCTCTCTCTCTCTCTCTCTCTCTCTCTCTCTCTCTCTCGCTCTCTCTGTTTCTCTAGCTCTCTCGTCTCTGACCCTATCGTTATGAAATCCAACTTGAACGATTTAACAAGAATAAAATATTTAATGTCGATCAAGATCATTTGAAAAACACACCAAACCGATGCAAGACATGTTTTCGTCTCTCTGCTCAACAATCTCTGCCAGCCTGCCCTCTCCTCTTCCTCAACAATCTCTGCTAGCCTGCCCTGTCCTCTTCCTCAACAATCTCTGCTAGCCTGCCCTCTCCTCTTCCTCAACAATCTCTGCTAGCCTGCCCTCTCCTCTTCATCAACAATCTCTGCTAGCCTGCCCTCTCCTCTTCCTCAACAATCTCTGCTAGCCTGCCCTCTCCTCTTCCTCAACAATCTCTGCTAGCCTGCCCTCTCCTCTTCATCAACAATCGCTGCTATCTGGTGCTCTTTTAGTTGAATAGACACCAACTACAAAGCATTTATTTAAGCGGTTGAAAAGACAGGAATAAAAAAGCGTAATAAGGCATCGATTAATGCTTCTTAGGTGGTACTCAAAGATGGGCGTCGGCTCCGGGCTTCAGCTCGGAGGCGAATTCCGGGATAACGCGCTGTCCCAGCTCCATCTCGCCGGTTCTTGAGGTTTTGTCGCCCGTGCTATCGAAGACGTCGATCTTGGGGTCCTTGACGTCGGCCCCACTGTGGCTCTCGCTCTTCGAACTAAAAAGCGATAATAGTGATATTTGCGTTATTGATCGTTTTTAAGGTTGACAGCGAAAACACCCAAGCCTAAGCCTAAGCCTAAGCCGAAGCCTAACCTAAGCCTAAGCCTATGCCTAAACTGAACCCAAGCCTAAGCAAAGCCTAAGCCTATGCTTAAGCCCAAGCCGAAGCTTAAGCCTTAGGATGCCTATTCCTAAGCCTAGCTACAAACAGCAACTTAGTTGTTCTTAGAATTGAGGTTTAAAGTAGCGCGTAATGATTGTAGTACGGGATAAGTAAACTCACGCTTCTGATCCCATTGGGAGGGGCAAGTTAATGAAAGGCTTCAGGCACTGTACGGTCTTCCAGCAAAGTGAGTCGGCTTATGTTCGAACGGTGTAAGGGGTGTGCTCGCCGTAGCTTTATCTTTCTTTTTATCTCTCCCCTCCTTGTTTATGTCCCCCAATGTTTTCAGCACGGTTTTCCGCAATTTCTGTACGCGGTGCGCTAGCAATGTCACGCCACATGGTCCCTGCCCCCCCGAGGAAATGTTGCTAATGGGAAGTGCGATCTGGACCCAAGCAATAGAGAGAGAGAGAGAGAGAAAGAGAGCGAGAAAAAGACAAAGAGAGAGAAATACAAAGAGCGATAGGCCAAAAAGACCGGCCACGCAAGGTCGGCCTGCATCTTTTTGCTCATCCGTACGCGGGGACTTATATTTCTTGATTTTTAGCATGCCGGTTCTGGACTATTAGCGGGGGTGGCTTTTGAAAAAGCTTCTCTACCTATATCCACCTTCAATGTCTCGGCTCAGTATATTTTATTTTCATAGTGATGAGTTTGTATAACCCAAAATCAACAAAAATCTTTCCCAAAATTTAAAAATTTCAAATTTTTGAACGAAAATCAATATGTTTCGATTTTGAGCATTCTTTCGTGAATTTTCTAAACGCAAAAGCAATGCAACGGTGACATAAATCAAGATTTTCTGGATTGCGGCCCTACGGCCGCCGTGCGATTTTGAATATGCTTTTCCAGAAAGTTAAATAAAATATTTTTAAATGTCGGTTTGTTTTGGCCGCGCTTTATATAGTTTTGACCAAAAAGACAAACTTTTCGAAAGTAGGTGCGTTTTTAACAATGTTTTATATTTAAAAACTAAGTAAAATGCCAAAAATCATAACATTTTCGAAAGTTTGTAGATCTGATGACTACTATTAGGTACATTTTGGCGCCACTTTTTGACAGGTTCGGTATTTCTGCGTCAATGCCACGTCACCCCTTTCAATGCCACGTCACCCGTATTTTAGTCCAGTTTATCTCACAAAATGTTTGTAATGTATTTAAAATATTTACTGGAAAGACTAGGTCAGTTTCTAAAAATGTTTACCTTCAAATTTCCAATGTTTGCCATGACGGCCAAATCGGCTTGATGGTGGCTGTGAAGGCTACTGTCAGTTGTTTTGCGTCTTGGAAAATTGTGAACGGCGGGCTTATGCAAGTAAAATGAAGGTTTTGATCTAACATATTGGTCGACTTGAGCCTTGCTAACCCCTTTGGCATGACGCCTCAAATTTGTTGCCGACGAGAAAGAGGCCGGCGATTTAATATTAGTGTAAAGTCGTTCTAGCTTTTTTGAAGTTGCCATTAAACTATAGCATTTCGTAAACTTCTAGGCTTTTATCGGTAAATATGCTTGTAAAAAGTCTGCGCTTTGCGTCGGCTGTGACGTGGTTATCGACTACCAAGTATCCGTAGGGGTTTTCCATGGCATCCTCGTAGCTATCAATTAGATAAGGAGGCTTTTCGGGAAACAGTTGATAGGCAAGGTTTCTAATTTGTAGTCTATCGGAATTGTTCTTCGTTACCAGAGCCCGGCCTTATCTATTGCGGGAATCATTCCGGGAACCTATTCCGGGAATAATTCCGGGAATCATTCCGGGAATCCGGGAAAAACATTCCCGGAATCATTTTCATCTCTATTCCGGGAATCTATTCCGGGAACGATTACCGGAATAGATTCCCGGAATTAGATGAAAACGATTCCGGGAATATTTTTACCGATTCCCCGAATGCATTCCCGGAATAGTTTTCATCTATTCCGGGAATCTCAGCACATTCCCGGAATTCAAACATTTGAAAATTCCTCGAATTAAAAAATGTAGTTGTTAAAAGCGAAAAATTCCAGTATTTGTATGAAGAGGTAGCCAATAGCATTCCTGCAGGTAAATAAAGATTTCAATTTTTTAACTTCCAAAATTCCCCGTAACTTCGCTGGGAACTACCCGATTAATTTGAAACTTTGTATACTAGCTAATGAAACCCCCTTTAAGCTCCTGTGAAAATTTCAGGAATTTTGGTGGTGTTTACCCAGATTCCGGAATGGTTACCCACCCCTTGGTCGGGTAGGTCCAGCCTTAACAATCATTCCCGGAATTACATTCCGGAATTTTGCCTAACATTCCCGGAATAGATGAAAATGATTCCGAGAACTAATTCCGAGATGGGTTCCCGGAGATATCATTCAGGAATCTATTCGGGAATTCCCCGGAATAGATAGAAAGGAACGCATTGCGGGAATCGATTCCCGGAATCATTCCCGGAATTAATTCAGGGAGATTCCGGGAGATTCCGGGAATGAAAAAGGCGTTCCCGGAATGATTCCCGGAATAGTTGGAAACGGGCTCAAAGTAAGTTGCGTTAGCTCGGGAGCTTCGATTCCCAAAGAAGGCATTCTGTGTACTGAATATTGTGTGGCACAACTCTGGAATGATGTACCAATTCTAGTGAACAGTGCTGTGAGAAGCTCACTATCTTTCATTTCGTGAAACAGATCATCGAGGATTATCAACGAATTTTTCAACATTTTTTCAGGTCATCTTCCGAAGTCGGGGACCTTCCATAAACTCCTAGACGTGGCTCGTTCCGCGCCATTTCTTCAAAAATGGGTTGATACACACCATAGCAGTAAATTATACGTTTGATAGGTGGTCCTTGAACCAAAGTATCAATATTTTCAACAAATTTTTTAACCCATTGAGTTTTGCCCGAATTTGAAGGGCCAACACAATAGAGTGACATTGGACATTTGAAGGTAAACATTTTTAGAAACTGACCTAGTCTTTCCAGTAAATATTTTAAATACATTACAAACATTTTGTGTAACATTTTGTGAGATAAACTGGACTAAAATACGGGTGACGTGGCATTGAAAGGGGTGACGTGGCATTGACGCAGAAATACCGAACCTGTCAAAAAGTGGCGCCAAAATGTACCTAATAGTAGTCTGATGATTATTTATTTTTATTTTTTAACGCTCAGTAAAATGCTATAAAAATAATTTATTTTTCGTTCTGGGGCCGTAGGGATTTCTGGGAAAAATTCACTCCCCCCGCTAACAGCCGAGAACTCGATATTTTCTCTTTTAGCGGCAGCGTATTCACGCTTTCTCCACAAACTATGGGATCTTCATCTTCTACCGACAAAGAAAAGACCGGGGCAGAATGGACGGGTTGCCTTCACTTCCACCAGGGCAACGGGACATGGAAGAAACTGGAGTCTGAGGAGATTATTGACTACTTTCGCGATAAACTCGAAGCCGATGAGGTTGGCCTCCTGTTTTTACGATAGGATACGTATTGACGTAGTTTGACTTACGGGCCCAGGATAGAATCTAGTTGCAGCACCGCTTTTTTAAATTCCAATTAAAAAATATTTTATTTACATTTCATATCATTTATTTTCCAATTTCTTCGAGCGTTCCACGCCCCCTTTCCCTTCGCCCCTCTTCCCCCAGGCCCCTTCGCGCGCCCAGATAGCTTTTTAAGTTACTTTAATACTTTTAATACTTTTTAATTATGTTAATTTATTATTTAAATCATTTAAAGTATCGGGATGGCATCTAAGTAGTTTTTGAAGGGGATTTCAGCCATGGGGGGTATCTGAAGCCATCAGGAGGGTATGTACAGGGTGAGGCATATATATCGAAGCACTTACAGAAGGCTCTCAAAAATTTAAGAGAGCTCGGTGGGCCGTGTTATTTTGCAAATATTTAGCCACTAGCGCTACTTCCAAGTTCCCAAAATAACAGAACCTGGAATTCTTGAAATTTTTTTGTTTGATGTAAAACTTGAGGTTCTTGGGGGTGGGCTTGGCACGCAACCCCTTGGAGTTCGATTTCGGCAGGCCGCGAAAACCCTGATTCGGGCACCTATGTGTGTCAAAAGGTTGGTGCTATGTAGGAACAACAAATAACGGTCGCAGCTGTAGTTTATTTATCTATATCAGACGGAAATTTCATATTATGACTCAGCTGTCCTCAGAATGCATAGTAAAAATCATAAAATTGTAGTTTGCAACTTTTAGGTATAGAGTTCTCTGATTTAGTCAACGACACCTGATTTTGTCAAAAGCCTAGAATGTGAAAAGATGCTCAAACAAAAGCTTCCTTCGAGCGTTATTTTGTAATACATTTTTAGGTCGGTACGATAGAGGCGCCTGAGTTGGGTCAGGGCTTGATTTTTGACTACAACAAAACTGTTTTGCTTGTTTTTGGCTATCCGACTTCTGCAATAAATAGATAAGTCTTAATCAATCAAGAATCGAGTATCCTGAGACGGTGCTACCTTTAGGCCAATCTTTAGGAGCAGCGTGCCAACATACCACTTTTTCGAAAAAACGGCTAAACTTTTCTAAACGATAAATCAAAAAGACGGCAGTCGGCGATCGTTTTTCTTTGACCCCTGTATCAGGGACCCCCTCATTTCATCAAGATGATATAAACAGTCCCCAAAAACTGTTTAGTTTTTTGCTTGCATGGAAAATTTCATGGCCCGGGGGTGCTTCGATATATATGCCTCACCCTCTAGGTAGTTTTTGAAGGGGATTTCAGTCATGGGGGGTATCTGAAGCCATCAGGAGTATACATGGGTCGACGCTTGCATGCGCCGCATAAGCGTGACCGGCCACGCTCTTCCGGAGCGTGGAGAGCCACGGCGCGCGTGCCTCTTAATAAACCACGCCGAAATAGGCGTGGCCCGCCACTGCTCCGGAAGCAGCATGCAAAGTTTCACAAAAATGCGAAATCAAAGGTTTCCCCAAGGGACATGAAAGCAAAAATCGATCCGTTTTCGAGAATTTAACTAACAAGAAGTTGAATCACCTTCTATCTTGTTTATTTATCAAAATTTAAAGATGACCCTGATAGTTATGTATCGGCAATTCATTTTTGCAAACCGAAATCATACATATATATGTCCTTTAAATTTTTGATTTGCATCTGGAGTTAAATCGCGCGCGTGAAAAAGCACGCATAGAGCGCCGCATAAGCGTGGTTCTCCACGCTCCGGAAGAGCGTGGCCAGCCACGCTTATGCGGCGCATCTATACGTCGACCATGTATAATCAGGAGGGTATGTAGGTAGTTTTTGAAGGGGATTTCAATCATGGGGGGTATCTGAAGCCATCAGGAGGGTATGTAGGTAGTTTTTGAAGGGGATTTCAATCATGAGGGGTATCTGAAGCCATCAGGAGAGTATGTAGGTAGTTTTTGAAGGGGGATTTCAGTCATGGGGGTATCTGAAGCCATCAGTGTAGGCATTGCCATGAAGGCATCAGCGTAAGGTAGGGATGAAATGTGGTGGTGTATAATATGGAGGGTAGCCCGAAGTCCAGCCGGTTACAGTCGCGAAGCGGCTGTAATCGGCTGGTAATGTATATAAATTATAATAAATCCTACCTTATATAATTTTGGCGCGTATGTTGTGTGTGTGTGTGTGTGTGTGTGTGGATGTCACTTTCGAGGCCCGATTTGAGGTCCTTCCCGTGGATAAAATGCTCTAATTTTCCGTCACCCGGGGGAATCGACCCTTCTGTTTCCGATGGCGTTCCTAGAATTTCGATAAAATACAAGTTTACAAAGTTAAGGCCGGTTTTATTCATTTTTGGGGGTTCCTGAGGGGCTAATTTGCATAATGCGAAAAATACAAATTTCCTCATTCTTGCCAGTTGCACTCGCCCGTGTGGTCGGCAGAGGGAGGGTCGAAGGACCCGAGTGATCAGAAAGTCAAATTTCTCATGCAAAAACCGCATTCCAGCGCCCAAGGCCCGCGAAGCGGGTTTTGGGCGCTGGTTATAAATATAAAAATAAAGGTCAAACCAAATGTATACGAAAAAATTTGAATGTATGCTCAAAAATGTATGAAAAACAGTCAAAAAGGGCCACAGTTTTGAGTTTTCCCAATATTTGCAGATCTTTGTTTTAACTTTCCAGCTCTGAAAAACTACTAAGGAAGCTGTAAAAATACACTATTTATGATTCAGATGTAGCAATAGTATGGGCAGAAGAATAAAAATTATCTCCCCACCCGTTCGAAAAAAACACGCCATGCATTCAGGAGAAGATCATTTTCGCGGAAATTCGAAAGTACGATCTGGGCCTGGTGACTGCCTGGTTTGGGCACTGGCACGAATACACGCTCGTGGAGACGACCAATTGGTTCTGGACCTTCGAGAAGAACTCGAAAGGCATCTACGTGCAGAGGGCCAAGCGCAACAGTGACGTGAGTGGGGGCGCGGCCGAAGCGAAATTGAGGATGGTGCCGAGGGCTGGGTAGAGGGAAGCACGTACATCTAGTGTCCGAAAAATTGGTTTAAAGAAACATTCAACTCCCAGCTTTTAATGCAAGAGCAAAAAGTCTTACCACGGCCGGGGGTCGATCCCTGGCCTGGTGCGCGGCAAGCGAACACAAAACCAATGTGCCAACAGGCCGATGGGAACGGGACAGGACAGGCCCTCTTCCCCCAGGATGATGATTCATTGAGTATATTTTTGGACGCTCTACGACGCAAAATTATAGAAATAATCGGCGGAAAGACCGCTTGGCGACGTTCCAATACTGACCGCGTTTGGTCCTAAACTATCCTTCAATTTGCCGATTCCTAAATTCCGATCAAAAAAAATTTTAAAAATGCTCTCTTTGACCATTTTGTAGGCTACCGCCCTTCCGGCGTATGCTAATTGCTCTCTAACAACGAGGGTGGCCGAGATTTTAAGAAAAACTGTGATTAAATATTGAAAATCGCAAATTTTCGAAAAAACATATCTGTGCAGTCCTCTCGAGGCTATTACGCATCTAATGGCGTATCAGCGGCGTGTGCCTATGTATACCGTTTAGGTGCGCTGTTGGTTTGCCGGTGTCAAACGGAAGAAGGATCGTTCGGAAGGCAGATCTTCCGCTGTCGAATTTGGAGAAAACGCCCTCGATGCAGCGCATTGGATCATTAATCGGTATGATGACGATTTACATTTACAGGGTGCTACTATTCTACAGGGTGTCCCAATAAAAAACCATCCCCCTCTAACTCGACAGCGGAGTATCGGATTTGAATAGTAGTTACACCATTCGAAAGTCCTTGAAACGGCCAGTTTGCAACTATCTTCTAAAACATGTTCTTATTTCAAAACGTGTTTTACAACATTAAGGAGCACCGCATTTAAAAACAATAAGGGACGGCCTCTGCATCTAATTAAAGGGGCTACGAAATGCCAAAAATTGAGTTACGGCCCGAAAATCGGAGCCCTGTACCTGGGAGGCCTCTGTACACCTAGGGGCGCGGGAAGCTCGCAAATTTGAAATTGCCTGTTGTCACCTCGAAATCGCGTTCTCGGCTGTTTCTGGGCCAAATTTGATGATTAAAACACCAAAACTATTTAAAATTAGTGAGGATTTGGGAAAATGGACTCAGAATGCGCGAATTATAGTGTTTTCACAAAGAAACCGGGCAAAAACAACTTCGCGCAAAAATCGAAAGAGTGAGGGCTCTCGTCCCGCAGCGCCCACTGGCAATTTGCCAGAAATCAAAGAGGCCTCCCAAAAGGGCTTTGATTTGGCAGTTCGGAGCCCCTTTAACGGCTACTTCCGGTCATTCTGTATTGAGAAATTGAGGCAAATTAGCTCGTATGCAGCCCGGAAAGACAGGAAAATTTTACAAAATGGATTGTAAAGTCCAGGATTTAAATAAACATATGGTTTGAAAATTGCTTGAAATTCGCGTTTCAAGGGCTTACGAATGGTGTAACTGGTTTGAAACACCGTTTCTCTACTCAAAAAGTGCTCGCGCCCTTCACCCCACAATTCTCTTTTTTTTTCTTGCAGGGGCGAACTGGACAAAACGTATCACTGGACCGAAAGCAATTGCCACTTCTTCGCCTCGCTCCTCTACGAGGCCATCACCGGAACAGCATACCCGGGCGGCAAACAGCGAAGACTACACAACACCCTGTAGGCATGACGAGGCTCGTAAATTTAGCTGCTGATGCATCTACTTTTGTGATAAATCATTCATATACAACGCCGAATGTTCATTTTACCATCCAAACTACGAAAGTTTTTTTAAAGGGATCAGGAGCTCCCAGCTAAAATGAACAAAAAAAAAACGACCTTTGTCCAAAATTTGCATATGTTGCGCACGTTCACCTCCAATTTTTTAGATATAAATAACGGAAGGTTTCTAAACGGTTTTTTACTATCCCTAAACGTAAAACTTCAGAAAATTTTATTGCAATATTACATAATACAAAAATCTCGATCTCGATCTACTTGCTATTAATTAAGTTACTGAGCATTTCTAGACTGATACAAAAAACGCGAAAAATATGTCCCCCTCCGGTAATGCGAAAGAGCGTCAGGTTTCCATGCCCCCCCCCCTTGTCTCGATACGTATTTCCTAAGTCTTGCAAAAAGTTGGTAGGCGCCACCGAGGGCCTGCTAACCGTCGAAATGTTAGGGTTACGGAACGTAAACAACGAAATCGTTGCGGCACGGAATTGCGAGAGAGAGAGAGAGAGGGAGAGAGAGAGAGAGAGCGAGAGAGAGACAGAGAGACAGAGAGAGAGAGAGAGGGGTGCAACGATAAAGAGAGGTTTAAAGAAAAGGAGCCCCTTGTCTTGACCCTTTCACCGGTCGAGCTGTTTGTGCCAAGCGCACGTGCTGTATCGACTCTTTCCCCCGAAAATGGGAGCTTTACATTCTATTGGTAAGGGGAAGAAGAGCAGACAATGGACATCGTGCCTTCATTTCTACACTGGCGACGGTGAATGGAAACCCCTTCAGGAACACGAAATTATCGCGTACTTTCGAGACGAATTGGACGCTGGAGAGGTTGGTCCCCTTGTCCTGAAACAAAAAAATAGCTAGACCCGTTTTTGCATAATAAAAATAGTTTAAACATGTTTTTTGGGCCATAAAAAAGCGCTTGGCATTGTTTTTGACGCTCTATCGAATGGTATTTTAAAATGACGGAAATGTGCGAAAATCATGCAAATATACTCCCCTAACCGTTATCGTATGTGGTGCCGGCAGTGTTTAAAAACCCCATAACTGTATTGTTATCCCATAAAACACTTAACGATATTTTTCGTGCTGAAATAATTCGGTTAGTACATTTTTTGTCGTTCTATCGGTTAGCGTTTTCAAAAAATATCCTATGTGCTCAAGGGCACCGCTCAATTTCCGACCAATTTTTTTATTGAATAAAAAACCTTCCTGATGGCTTCAGATACCCCCCATGGCTGAAATCCCCTTCAAAAACTACCTAAATACCTTCCTGATGGCTTCAGATACCCCCCATGGCTGAAATCCCTTCAAAAACTACCTAAATACCCGGCTGATGGCTTCAGATACCCCCATGGCTAGAAATCCCTTCAAAAACTACCTAAATACCTTCCTGATGGCTTCAGATACCCCCCATGGCTGAAATCCCCTTCAAAAACTACCTAAATACCTTCCCGATGGTTTAAGATACCTCCCCTAGCCGAAATCCCCTTCAAAAACTACCTAAATACCTTCCCGATGGTTTAAGATACCTCCCCTAGCCGAAATCCCCTTCAAAAACTACCTAAATACCTTCCCGATGGTTTAAGATACTTCCCCTGCCGAAATCCCCTTCAAAAACTACCTAAATACCTTCCCGATGGCTTCAGATACCCCCCATGGCTGAAATCCCCTTCAAAAACTACCTACATACCTTCCTGATGACTTCAGATACCCCCATGGCTGAAATACCTTCAAAAACTACCTAAATACCTTCCCGATGGCTTCAGATACCCCCCATGGCTGAAATCCCCTTCAAAAACTACCTACATACCTTCCTGATGACTTCAGATACCCCCCATGGCTGAAATCCCCTTCAAAAACTACCTAAATACCTTCCCGATGGCTTCAGATACCCCCCATGGCTGAAATCCCTTCAAAAACTACCTACATACCTTCCCAATGACTAGATACCCCCCATGAACTGAAATCCCCTTCAAAAACTACCTACATACCTTCCGATGACCCAGATACCCCCATGGCTGAAATCCTTCAAAAACTACCTACATACCTTCCCGATGACTCAGATACCCCCATGGCTGAAATCCCCTTCAAAAACTACCTACATACCTTCCTGATGGCTTCAGATACCCCCCATGGCTGAAATCCCCTTCAAAAACTACCTACATACCTTCCTGATGACTTCAGATACCCCCCATAGCTGAAATCCCTTCAAAAACTACCTAAATACCTTCCCGATGGCTTCAGATACCCCCCATGGCTGAAATCCCTTCAAAAACTACCTACATACCTTCCCGATGACTTCAGATACCCCCCTAGCTGAAATCCCTTCAAAAACTACCTAAATACCTTCCTGATGGCTTCAGATATCCCCCATGGCTGAAATCCCCTTCAAAAACTACCTAAATACCTTCCCGATGGTTTAAGATACCTCCCCTAGCCGAAATCCCCTTCAAAAACTACCTAAATACCTTCCCGATGGTTTAAGATACCCCCCCTAGCCGAAATCCTCTTCAAAAACTACCTAAATCCCTTCCCGATGGTTTAAGATACCTCCCCTAGCCGAAATCCCCTTCAAAAACTACCTAAATACCTTCCTGATGACTTCAGATACCCCCCCTGACTGAAATCCCCTTCAAAAACTACCTAAATACCTTCCTGATGGCTTCAGATACCCCCCATGGCCGAAATCCCCTTCAAAAACTACCTAAATACCTTCCCGATGGTTTAAGATACCTCCCCTAGCCGAAATCCCCTTCAAAAACTACCTAAATACCTTCCCGATGGTTTAAGATACCTCCCCTAGCCGAAATCCCCTTCAAAAACTACCTAAATACCTTCCCGATGGTTTAGTACCTCCCCTAGCCGAAATCCCCTTCAAAAACTACCTAAATACCTTCCCGATGGCTTCAGATACCCCCCATGGCTGAAATCCCCTTCAAAAACTACCTAAATATCTTCTTGATGGCTTCAGATATCCGCCATAGACGGAAACCCCTTAAAAAACTACTTAGATTCCATCCCGACACTTTAAATGATTTAAATAACGAATTAACATAATTAAAACATATTAAAAAGTATTAAAGTAACTCAAAAAAGGCATCTGGGCGCGGGAAAGGGCCTGGGGAACAGGGGCGAAGAGAAAGGGGGCGTGGCCTCCCGGGGAGAGGGACCCCACTCGTTTTATTAAGGCGCCACTTTCAAAGTTAATTATTTTTATTTAAACGAAAACTTTTTATAATGTTTTGATCCTTTTAAGGGGGTTTCTGACCATGCTCTATCCGAATCCGAAGAGACCTAAGCTCTAGCTCCTTTCCCCTTCGAGTTATAGTTGGCTTCAGACGGACGGACGGACACCACAGCAAAATTATTATAGTTGATAGCAGAATAAGTTTCCACGAAAACTAATTAGTGCATCTTGCTCAGAAAATTACGCTCTTTCTAATCAGCCTTCTCATGAAACAAGTTCGAACATTTTTTCAAAAAGATTAATTTAGACGACATGGTCCTCCCCCCATGTGAAATTTCAGCAATTTGACGACATTTTGAAATTTCCGCGTGACATGGCTCATTCGAAAGAGCGTAATTTTCTGAGCAGGCCGCACTAATTGGTTTTCGTGAAACTTATTCTACTATTTTTATAGGTGCCGAAAGTAGGCCATTTTGGGCCTTTTTCACACTTTAAACCCTCATAACTTTGGTTTTCCGATCGTTTCGCAAATTCTACAAAGTACGTTTTAATCAGCAAAAAATTCTGCACAAGATAGGCTAGGTCCCGTTCCGAAACTCCGTGCCCACCTAAAAACGTCTCCTTGTTAGTATATTTTTCAGTGCTTTATCAAATGGCACTTTCAAAATCTCACAGTAATCTAAAATATTAGAAATAATGGGCGCCTCGTTATTTTAATCCCCCCTCCCGTTACCCTAGCTGTACCATAAATTAAATAAGGGTAAACGCCAAAGAAATATTTCAGGAGTTCATCGTCTTCTCGGAGATCCGCAAATATAACGTGGGATGCTGGCTATTCGGATTGTGTGGATATTGGCATGAATATACGCTGGTAAAGACAACCAATTGGCACTGGAGCTTCGAGAAGATGGAACAGGGCATCTTCGTGCAGAGGAGCAAGAGCAGAGATCAGGTGAGATGGAAAGTTCATTCAAAAGCTGAAGAAAAACATCATTTTCAGGTGCGCTGCTACTTTGGTGGTAAAAGACGTAAGCCGGATAGGACGGAGGGAAGATCTTCTCTGGTCTCGTTCGGTGAAAACATTCTCGATGTCGTGGGATGGATTATCGACAGGTAAGACATCGGTGAGACGGCACCCAGACGAGCCCCACGTATTACCAAATCTCGGACTTGCTCTGTAGAAATGGATTGGGTTTGCCGTTTCATTTGAGGCAACACCCTACTATTTTTTTCAGAAACGAGCTGCGCAACGCGTATCGCTCTATCGTTAGCAGTCACCACTTTGCCTCTCTTCTCTATGAAGCGATCACACGAACTAAGGAAAATCGAAGGCTCGACAACACCGAGTAGTCACGGAGATTTTGGGTTTTACATAAAAAATACAAACCGGATCCCCATCAAAACATGATCCGACTTGGCCATGGCGAAACCGTTAGACCTGACTATGAGGCTTTGTTTTTTTTCTTTGCTCTTTCTTTCCACGTAGGGACCGGGGGATTACCGGGAACTCGCAAGCCTCGCGACAAGCTTCAACGCGTGCCCCTTTTCGCTGGTCGCCGACACTTCCAACATGCTCAGCCGCAGCGACAAAACTCAACGATTCATTATTATTTCTTGGTTGAGAATGCCCGGCCTCCCGTCGAGAGGAAGGCAAAACAGTTCGATAGAAGAAGTTGATCTAGTAACCCAAGGGTACCCCCTTGATAACTTGGAACTAGGGTTTCTATGAGAAAAAAAAGAAAAAATAAAGCTAAGCCTCTCTAATCTAGCTAATCTGGCGGTTTCGCCATGGCCAAGTCGAATAATATTTTTTATGGGGATCCGGTTTGTATTATTGAGGTAAAACCCAAAATATTTAAAATCGGCATTTTGTAAATCGGCATTCTGTAAATCGGCTTTTTGTAAATTCGGCATTCTATAAAGCAGCATTTTGTAAATCGGCATTATTAGATAAATCGTCTGCATGATAAAAACTACAATTTTTTAGCACCAGAGATTTTTATTATTTTGCGTTTTTGTCTGAGGCTTCTCAAATTTTGGACTCCTGCTAGTTAGCTTGGCGGCAAACTCAACGAGGGACGGGATAATAGCGTTCAAAGAGGTGGCTCTATCGTTTTGACACGCACTGTATCTTAAGTTATTGATCCGGTTTAGACCCTGGGTTAGATGTGAGGGCCGGGATGGATAGCTGCCCCGAGGGGGCATTCCGAGTTGCTTCAGTAGCTCATGAGGTAGAGCATCGGTTCATCGCGTTCGTGATACTTCTTCGGATTCTGAGTGGCGCACAAGGCAATTCTTACCAAAAATCACGTATCGATATACACTTTTAGTTCACTGTAATGGGAGTATCCGTTTATGACTACAAAGTATTAGTAAGACCGCGCTTCGCTGCTGTTCAGCTGAACCCTCGTAAACAGAACGTACCGCGAAGATAACGATCTTGTCCGGTGTGCCATAAAATCGCCTCCAATATGTCTTCATTATTCCCGCGTTCCTCCGGTTTTTCGTTTATTTACGTGTGCCACTGCAAGACAAAGATAAGAGTCACGGAGTACAATGCGAACCTTCTTAGTTAATTTTACTTGATGGGCAACCCAAATATGGCGAAACTTAGGCCTGTGACAAGAGAAGAGGTCTTGAGTGGTTAGAATTAGTATCAAAGAAACAGGCAGCGTCCTCCCACCGGGACTCTCAACGGCTTTTTTTAATCTAGCATATGCAACCCCGGAATTAAGCTTCCTTCAACAGAAAATGTGGTTCCGGCGAGGTAAAAATTCATGACAGGGTTCGCTTCGACAGATTCAAGACCTGGCACGACAAAAATTGCCAAAAAGCATTTGACTCACTATCAAATTCTGCAAAATACCGCATTGTTCCATTTCGAAACGCCAGTGTGACTAGAAAACGTCCCCATTTTCAGTGCTGATCGGAATCGTCTTCCTTACCCCATTAATTCTTAAGTCGAGGCCGGCAGGGTCAAAGAATTGTCCTCACCCTCTCGATTCTTGTTAAAGTGAAAGCAAAACTAGCTAAGCGTTTCAAAGATGCTCAAAGTTTTCTGCATGGAACGATGCGCATGACTTTAGAAGAGCTGCTTTGCTGCTTTTCGATAATATGTTCAAAACTAACATGACAATGTTACTTCGAAAAATAATTTTATTGACAGCGACAACATCTTCCAGGAACGCTAATAACAACAAAATAGACTGCACGACCCGATCGTGCCTACTCGGTATTATCGAGCCTTCGGTTTCCCTTCGTTCGTGTGATCGCCTCGTAGAGAAGCGAGGCGAAGTGGTGGCAATTACGCTCGGTGTAGTGATAAGTTGCGCTCAATTCGCCTCTGCAATGTAATGAATGAGAATTAAGACGAAATCAAAGTTTACTTGAGGCGTTCATCGCTTGCAGGATAACAATGATGATTACCTGTTGACGATCCATTTCCCTACATCGAGGATGTTTTCATGGAATGCCACTACGGAAGATCTGCCTTCTGACCTGTCCTCCTTACGCGCTTCACCCGCGAAGTAACAGTGGACCTGAAAACACAGGTTTCTGCATAATAGCCAGCGCTGCTTATTGAGGCTGGACTTTGGACAACCCTAATATGGCGGCGAGTTAGGGGATGGACCTAGAGCCATTTTCTCACATCGATTAGATTTTTGCTTCTCTGCACGAAGATGCCCGTCGAGTTCTTCTCGAAGCTCCAATACCAATTGGTCGACCGCACAATTGTGTATTCGTGCCAGTAGCCGAACCATCCGGCTACCGACTTCAAAAGTGGGATCAAGCCTCCGGACGAACGGAGTGGTCTCTTTGGATACGGACGGCCGCCGTCGCACCCGCCGCTCTCTTCCCACACCCGCTGGTTGTCCTCGTCCCCTAGGTTGTACTTGCGAATTTCCGAGAACAGGATGATCTCCTGAAATGAATGTGTATGTATGTCAAATTCAAAATATGTAAGCAGAGCTCATAATTGAAGTTACAGGAAATAGGGCAAACCTCGTCAGCGTGCAGTTCATCTCGAAAATACTTGCTGACTTCGTCAGGATTCAGTCTTCCCCATTTTTTGTCAGCGAGGAGGAAATAAAGGCACCCTGTCCATTTTCCTCCATTCTTTCCTTTGTCATCAGGATTCGATGTGGATGACATGCTCGAAAAGGCAATTTGTAGAATACCGCCGGTACACCCGTTTGCGTAGCTGCCCACCCACGTGGTAGGTGGGCAACTACGCCGAGAAACGTTTGCGTAGCTACCCACCCACACGCACTATGGGCAGCTACGTAAACGGGTGTACCGGGTGTACTTTACTAACTGCCATCGAAACAAAAAAATTGAATACAGCACGGGGTTTCAGAATAAAGAAAAATGGCCGTTGGCGATTGGTTCATACAGATAAGCACGGGTTCTCTCTCACTCTCTCTCTCTCTCACTGTTTCTCGCCCACTCTGCCCCCTCACTATACGGCCAAGGTCCTTTGCGTCTGGATTCCTCACCGACTATTATGAAGTAACCGCCTGGGACCATAACCCGTATCTACTATTGAACTCCCAAGATAGTCACGTAAAAAACGCGAAAGCCGAAGAGAAGCAGTAGGCAGCGCTGTTCTTAAGCGACGCCAAACAGGATCGTTATCACAAAGAGCTTGCTTTCGAATTCCTTGGTACACGCCCATCACCGTCCGCAATGGGATCAAACGCGTTCGTTTAATTTGAAACCTTGTTAGATCCAGAATCAGTAACTGTGTATACAGGATGTCTCATAAATTTTTTAACTTTTCGTTTTTAATATAGCCATTTTTGTTCGCGAAAATTAGGACCAAAGTCCATGAAAATTGCAGATTTTATGCAAAATCCACATGCTAACTGCTTGCTAAAGCCAACAGCACTATGCCGATCTTACGCTTTTTTAAGAATTCGTTGAATACCGAGCGCGGGGTGAAAAATTTTGTAAAACGAAAAGCGCTTGTTTTGCCGCCGTTTCATGGGCTTACGAATGGTGTAAAAATCATCCCAATTGGAGCTTTTTCTGGACTGCCAGGGGGTCGATTTTTTTTTTGGGATACCCTGTAGTTTTTGGCTTTGCGCACCTATTTAAACAACAAAGCGGCTTTTCATGAACACCCAGTATTAAAATCAAATATATGGTTATTATAGCTCCACAATTGAAAGCGAAGTCAAGGAAATCAATATCTACGATAAGGATGGGAACAAGATAGGAAGAACTGCAGAGATGGAGCCTGAAGTTGACTTCCATGCTTGGGGACGAAAATCCGGGGCGGAGCCCTTCTGGGGAGAAGCTCCTGTACAGGACGGGCCAGATCTTTGACCCGTTTTCAATCCACGTGCCACGTTGTAATAAATTCTTGTAATCGGTCCTTTGAAAAAACGCGGATCGAGCTATATGAATTTTTGTGGAGTCTGTTCTTGTTTCGCCATAAGCCTCACAATATTTATCATGGAAAGCGGAACCAATACCTACGTCGTTAAAATGGCGAAAACCGGATATTATGCAGCAAAACACCGCTCGTATAATTAATGGCATGCAAGCTACGCCAAAATTGGGGCATAAAAGCAACACACAAAAAACACCGAAAACATAAATCCAGAAAACAAGCGATCACCAGTAAATATGGACATGGTATAAATTAATTAAATTATTCAATAATCGATAATCAGTACAAAAAAAAAACGAAAATTGAATAAATGTAATTATTTGCGCTCAAAATGGACGAGGTACCCCTTCGACGCCATCACCGAGCGGCTGTTCAGCCAGATTGTGTACCTGCAACAAAGGCACCTGTAGAAGCTGGAACATATCTTTTAAGGAAATTTCAAGAAAATTAACTTTTTTATAACGTTATTTAGATATGATTTTAAAAAAGATGTTTTTGCATAATTTAACTTATAGAAAATAGAAGAGAAGTCTAAAACTCCACCGAAAATTTCGGTATTTTCGAATGTTTGAAAATGTTTATGTTTCAGTTTTTCCCTTTTCGCTAAAAATTTTCTGCTGCAATCGACGCGGTTCTTTATTGCAAATAAAAATGCTTTTGAATATGACTCCTAGTATGTCTAAGACTACTTTACCATACAATTACATCCATGCCCAAATACAGGGTGTCCCAGAAAAAAGACCCCCCAAAAATTTGAGCCAGAGGGCACCTACGGAGCTGAAAATTTGCACAGAGGTAGCGAAAGCAATTTTCTATGAACAAGGAAAGTTTCAGCCCGATCGGCCAGCGGGTTTTAAAGTTATAGCGAAAATACTTTTCATTTTTAATTTAATATGGGGAACTTTGAAATTTGCATCAAAGATATGCCTTATTCTTGCATTTACAAGCCGATTTTGCATAAATTTCGCTGAAAAGTGCCATTTTCTTGATGGAGATTTTGGAAAACGATTGCTCGTGTAGCGAGAAATTGATCAGCAAGAACGATGAATACCAGACCCCATGGCGGAAACTATCCTTGAACGCTTGAGCTTGGCTTAGACTTCGGCGTACGCGCCAACATAAGCCCAAATCTAAACTTCAACACTGTTTTCGAGCTCGTCGAACTCTGTTTTCGGGCCGACGAAGCTCAGATTGCGAAAATGTACAACAACACGTGATTTGGATCGATAAACCAGTTGTTTTAACACTCTTTTTATTCTTTATACGCAATCCTTTTCCAAAAGCTCCAGCAAGGAAATGGCATTTTTCGGCAAAATTTATGCAAAATCGGCTCGTAAATGCAAGAATAACGCATATCTTTGATGCAAATTTCAAAGATCCCCATATTAAATTAAAAATGAAAAGTATTTTCGCTATAACTTTAAAACCCGCTGGCCGATCGGGCTGAAACTTTCCTTGTTCATAGAAAATTGCCTTCGCTACCTCTGTGCAAATTTTCAGCTCCGTAGGTGCCCTCTGGCTCAAATTTTTGGGGGGGTCTTTTTTTGGGACACCCTGTATAACTCTCCTAAAGTATTAGTTATTTTCAATATTTTGTTGTGTCCAGATCTTCAGGGCCGCGCGAACGCAGCCCCTCACGCAAAAATTTAGCTGTAGGCGAACCCCAACTCGGAGCTGCCTTACAGGTCAACCCGGCCAAAAGTGCAATGGCCAAGCCTCGCCATAGAGATCCCGTCTTAATGATCACGGGAGTCTCCCAGCCAGGTAAGTTTATGAGAGGATGGAGGGGGTAGGATAGGTCGGGGAAATGGGCCAGACGGGGGGCGAGTGGAATTGGGGAAGGCAGCGCACAGGGAGCCCTCAAGAGGGACTGAGGGCTAAGAGGAGAGCAGCTTCATTGTAATTACATCCATGCCCAAATATAACTTTCCTAAACTTGCATGTTTTTGAAAAATTTAATGTTTCACGTTATTTGAAGTATCGGAAAAATTGTCTGCAGTTAATGGGCGTTATATCTGCGTTATATCCTTTACTCAAATTAAATCTTTACTCAATGTTTCACTGAATGATCAAAACCTGGAAAATTTGGCTCCCTCAGTGAAATTGGACCCACTGCACCCTACTAATGAATTATAATGATTTGTTATTCAAAATGAACCACGCTGAATTTTCTAAAGATAATTTTGTTTATTAGTTTTGTATATTAATTTCTACCGCACCCAGTATAATCAATGGCAAAATTTTCGCAAATTTATTTGTTTCATTTAAGAGAATTTATCTATTGAAAGACAATTTTTCTCAAAAATTAAATACTACTATTTTCCAAAGTCAGTTTTCTATATTAATTTTGTATATTAATTTCTATCGTACCTAGCTACCCAGGCGGGCCCGAACGGCAGCAACGCGTCGCCCAGCAGCTTCTGCCCCTCGGCCTGGAATTCGAATTTATTGGGGATCAATCTTATTTTTGAGGTTATAAAATTGGGCGTATAATAATAAATTTTTATACTATTTGAATAACGCAACTTTGAGTTTTTACTCACCATAAACTCGTCGCCCAGCTCAAACGATCGCGAGTCGGGATGCGTCAGGATCTGGATGTCGTGCGCCTTCGCGTATTCCACAAGTTCTTGCGGGACCTGGAAAAGGTACTGTAAGTTATTTCTATTTTTATATTACTTAAATTTAGATGTATTTTAGTGTCGAAGAAAAAGAAAATGAACGGGTTTTAAAAAATAAAATGTTTCAAAAATTCTTTACTTTCCAAGTTTTTACAGATACACATTTAGCCGCGCAAATTATTTGATCTCTTTTAATATCAAAGATAGCTAGCTAAAATTACAATAATAAGATTTAAAACCTTATAAGTACCGCAGCCACAGAATAAACTGATTTTATGAGCTTTTCAAAACTTCAAAAAAATCTGTTTAAATAAAAATCGGCAAAATCGAAAGACAAGAGCTGATATGTCATTTTTTCTGATTCTCCGATATTTATCCATTGTTATTTTATAATAAACTTTCTTATGAAAGGAGAGTACAGAAACCGATAATTACAAAATTTTCCGACTAAAAAAATTGTGATTCAAAGAAATTACAAAGTTGTCAAAATAATTTTCAGTCAGTGAATCATTAAAAATCACGGAAATAACTTTTTAAAGAAATTATTAAATTAAAATATCTAAAACACAATTCTCCCACCGTACAACACCCATCAATGCTGTAGTGCTCGATTTTCGGGGGCTCGTTGGCCGCCTCGCACAGCATACGCAACCGCTCCAGTTCAATGTCCGACACGCCGAGGTACAGGATCTGGAAGAAACACCTATTTTGCGCTTCAAAGATCCTTTTAGACCAGGGAGACCTTTAATTTTTTGAATTGCCGTGGTTATAATTCAATAAAAGTCGCTGGCACTTAAAATTGCCTAAAACACATTCAAAAATTACGTTTGTCAATTTCAACAGTAAGCTATTAAATTTATTTTCCCAACAGCTACATAGATTATCTACCGAAAATATTGCAAAATTAGCAGATTTTTCGAAACACATTTTTACCAAAATGAATTTTATATAACATTAAACTGTCATCGCTGCTATGAATTCTTGATTTCCATCAAAGTCGGGCTCAATAGCTACTCTCCTGCTCCCTGTAAAATCCGACCTTGCCGGCGTCGACGAGCTTCTCCAGCGGCTGCCACACGCCGAGGACGGCGGCCAGCCACGTCGGGTCGTCCTGAAAAATCTCAAATAATCTCTGCTAGCCTGCCCTCTCCTCTTCCTCAACAATCTCTGCTAGCCTGCCCTCTCCTCTTCCTCAACAATCTCTGCTAGCCTGCCCTCACCTCTTCCTCAACAATCTCTGCTAGCCCGCCCTCTCCTCTTCCTCAACAATCTCTGCTAGCCTGCCCTCTCCTCTTCCTCAACAATCTCTGCTAGCCCGCCCCTCTCCTCTTCCTCAACAATCTCTGCTAGCCTGCCCTCTCCTCTTCCTCAACAATCTCTGCTAGCCTGCCCTCTCCTCTTCCTCAACAATCTCTGCTAGCCTGCCCTCACCTCTTCCTCAACAATCTCTGCTAGCCCGCCCTCTCCTCTTCCTCAACAATCTCTGCTAGCCTGCCCTCTCCTCTTCCTCAACAATCTCTGCTAGCCTGCCCTCACCTCTTCCTCAACAATCTCTGCTAGCCTGCCCTCTCCTCTTCCTCAACAATCTCTGCTAGCCTGCCCTCTCCTCTTCCTCAACAATCTCTGCTAGCCTGCCCTCTCCTCTTCCTCAACAATCTCTGCTAGCCTGCCCTCTCCTCTTCCTCAACAATCTCTGCTAGCCCGCCCTCTCCTCTTCCTCAACAATCTCTGCTAGCCTGCCCTCTCCTCTTCCTCAACAATCTCTGCTAGCCCGCCCTCTCCTCTTCCTCAACAATCTCTGCTAGCCTGCCCTCTCCTCTTCCTCAACAATCTCTGCTAGCCTGCCCTCCCCTCTTCCTCAACAATCTCTGCTAGCCTGCCCTCTCCTCTTCCTCAACAATCTCTGCTAGCCTGCCCTCTCCTCTTCCTCAACAATCTCTGCTAGCCTGCCCTCTCCTCTTCCTCAACAATCTCTGCTAGCCTGCCCTATCCTCTTCCTCAACAATCTCTGCTAGCTGGCCCACCATTTCGTCCTGTGCCTCGGGGAATTGGAGGATGACTTGAAACAGCGAAGAGAGCTCCAAATGCTCCAATGCCATCCGGACGGCCGTCGCCGCGTATTCCGGCGAAAATGTGAGCAGGAAAAGCTGAAAATTCGTGAGGTAAATTAGATAACTATTAAGATAAGCGCTACGCTATTTTTTTGTGGAGTTTGGATGAAACATTTCTTCCGGAAATTTTTAGGTCTTCAAAATTTTTTTGACCTCCTCAAGATAAACTACAATATGGTAGAACATGTTTTTTCTACATTGAGGTCGAAAAACTCAAAAAAAGAATGAGAATATCAAACCTTGAGCGTCGTCTTAATATCCGAAGACTTTCTGAACTCGCCGAGGTCGCCGCTCGACAGGGCGATCGGGTCGGAGCTGGAATAATCACCATTTGAATCAGCCATATACCCCTAGCGCTAACCTTTTTGGCGACCTATTCAATGGCAAATCTCAAAAACCCAGGGTTTTTGAAAAATGTTGAAAAATGTTTGAAATTTCAAAGAATCCAATTTAAACGACAAACTCAAATAACGCTAAAAACCTAAAATCTTACCTAAAATCCAGCTGATTCTGATTCACGTCTCGGTCCTTGGCGAACTTGGCGAAGGCGGCCGTGAGCTCGGAAGAGGAGTTGACGTGCCGTTTCAGCATCAGCTAAATGTTATAATTTATTAATGCAGACAATTCTAAATCTTAATTAAAGTTCAAGCTCAATTATAATTGATTAAATTTAAAATTAAAACAAGTTCGGCACCTCGATGTGCTTCGACAGATTGCCGGTGTCGATCGTGAACGCGTTGCGGTCGGCCAATTTTTGAGCCGGCATTAGGAAGCGTCTGGAAACGAACACTTAAAAAACCAGAATCAGCAATAATAATGTTTAACACTAAAGTTTATAAGTTGAAAATTTTTGTGAAAGCGTCGAAAGCTGCGGTTGAATCTCGTAAATCAAAAACCCGGAGTTTCAAAAATGTTTGAAACATTCTTATGGTTTGTGGAAATTCTTGGGGTTAACTAGCAGAGATTGTTGAGGAAGGGAGAGGGCAGGCTAGCAGAGATCCCTCGATAAATCGCAAGATATGATCGCGATGACCGCGAAATGGGGCAGCCATTTTTGCAAAAATCTATATGAAGAGGGCGGGAGAAGCAATAGAGGAGAGATGAGAGAGAGAGAGAAAGAGGAAGAGAGAGAGAAACACAAGAAGCAGCATAGGAAAAGACGACCGGGCGAACCCCGCGCACGATGCGTAAACAGCCTACCTTTCCTGTGTGCGGGGGTTTTTTCCGGTAATAATAACATGGTCTAGAGCATTCTCTTGGAGCACAATTTAGAATTTCAAACGATGGAAAATATCTAAAATAAAACGAAAATTTTGTCTCTATTGCGATGAGTGAAACATTCTATTTCAGAAGCAACAGTGTTGCGAAATTCTATAGACCTTTTAACACTTCATTACTAAATTTATGTGCTTTAAGTAAAGGTTCAGGATGATTTCCAAAAAAATCCAGAATTTCGGAAAAAATAAATGTTTGGAAAATGGAGCTCACAAGAAAAATTGAGTGATAGGCAATTTATCATCTTGCTTCAAGAATTTCTGAATTTCGCAAAATATTCTTGATTTATTTCTTAATTAACTATGTATAAAAAATCTTCAAAATACATTTTAGGTTTCAACAATTAAGCCTAAATCTAATAGGTATATTGAATAGCCTACAAAGAAGAATTTGGTGAAAAAAACAAGAAGATTTTCGAGATTTTTTTACTGTAAAAATCGAAACGTAAAAGCAGAAATACTGTAACTTTACTGATTTACTGTATTTTAAAGCAATATTTAAATCATTTAATTACCTAGTATTTTCCATGATTTTAATCTTTCTATAACTATTTTTGAAACATCTTTTCAAAGCTTTAAATTCAAGAAATTGGAAAAGCCGAGCTGAGATGAGATGATGATAAATTCTCAGCGAAAACGTGGGGAAATTCAGGGCCTTTTCCCCCGGCAACCCGTGCTTTTCGTGTCCCCCGTTTTGTGCTGGTTGTAGTTTCCGTGCTTTTCGCCGCCTTTCCCCCGCAAAAGATGACGAATTCCAGCTGGGAATATCACAGAACATTGAGAGAAAAACACATGAAATAAATAATTGTCAACGGCAGTTTTCACACTCCAAGACTTATTTTCTCATTTCATGCCCAAAATTTCAAATTTTATCGAATTTGGTTTTATTTCATCCAAAAATATGGCTAGCTCAAGAGAAAGGACTAACTAGTAACAAAAAATTTTGCAGACTAGGCAATTCGATAACACATTCTTTTTCTACTTGATTTTGGGCTTTTTGGCACTATCGGACTTCGAAGCTAATTTTCTTTCATATAAATCCAGACGTGCCAAAACCTAATCGTAATATTTTAATAGTGTTTTAGTATATTTTAACTGTTTTTTAAGTGGTAAAACCATCTTAAAGCGGCTACTTTTAGCTGCAAAATCGGGTTTAGAAAACTTTTACGCTTAGGAATAGGAGGAATAGTAAAGACGGTTTTATGAACTTCCTCTTTTGATATTCGAAAAATTGGTTCTTTAGAATAAAGTTTGTCTATCCCTTGAAAACTACGGGTAATTTCCGCCAATTTCGTCTATGAATTAAGGCGCTCGAAAAAGAATTGACTTGGAAATTCGATGAAACATTTTGTCGAAAACTTTCTAGGCCTCGCCAAATTCCCTAGCGGTCTCTGCTAGCGTCTTACACAAATCAAAGCGATTTTTGCAAGTTCAGGATCGGAATCCAGATGCAAATATAGCTTTCGAGCAGCTTAAATTTACTCGGAAGTCCAATAAAAATCACCTGACCAGCTGGCGCAGCATCACGGCATCAAAATGTTGAATAATTTCAGGTACGATAAAAATATGCCAATCCCAATTCTACAACTTTATTGAAAACTGTAAGTTGTCTATACTGTACAGTCAATTTATCCAAAAGGCAGCAACTTAGAGAACACAAATATACAAAGTACCTAAAAATACAGGCAACGCTCACGGGGAAACGGCGAAATTGTAAAAAATGGAAAAGCTAGAAAATAATAAAAACAGGGGTGGAGGAGAGGTTTTTGTTTTTTTCTAACTGTTTTTTATTTTTTTCTTTTTTTTTTTTTTTTTTAGTTTTTTTTTTTATTAATTTAAGATTTATAAAAATTAATATTTTTTTTTTTTTTTTTTTTTTTTTTTATAAAATTTTTTTTTTTAATATTTTTTTTATTAGGATTTTTTTTTTTTTTTAAAATTTTTTTTTTTTTTGTTAATTTTTTGATTTTTTTTTTTTTTTTTTTTTTTTTATTATTTTTAAATTTTATTTAAAAAAATATATTTTTTTTAATTATTATATTGTAATTTTATAAAAAAAAAAAAAACACAGAAAAAAAGAAAAGAAATTTTTAAAAAAGAAAAAACCCAAAAAATTAAATTAAATAAAATAAATTATAAAAAAAAGATATGGCAAATGGATAGAGAAATATCTGGGTCTCCTACCGTCGACGTCTGATTATCGGGTACCCGGGTAATCGACATCGAAGAAAGTGTGGAACACGTAATTCCGCAAAACGTAAAAAGGCAAATTTAGAAAAATGCGACTACGATACTTAATTCACTGTAATTGATAGCGTAATCGGTTAAACGACCGGAAATTTAATCGGCTAGCGGCTCCTCGCTGGCCCAGCGGACGACGTCGCCGGGGAAGTCTAGGTGCTGAATTTCTTGGAGCAGCGTCTCCGTTGAGCAGGCCAGCACGAATTGTCTAAAAATTACAATTTTCAAGAAAAATTCCGTATTTTCTCACTTGTTATGAAGCATCACCGCCTTCCGGTCGCACACGATGATCAGGCGCATCTCGTTGAGTCGATCGAGCTCCTGAAAAAAATGTCAATAATTTTATTAAAAAAGCCCCTTTCTGTTGTTTTTATTCAAAAAAATATTCAAACAAACGCTTATAAATAGCACTTCCAACTGCGCAAAATACCGACAAATCGCAATTCGGGAAGCGGAAATACCGCCACTAAAAATGCCGGCAGACGAAGGGCGATACCCGGAATGCCAAAATTACGATAGCTAGACAAAATTAAAGATACCGACAGCCAAACGGCATGCAAAGCTCGGATGGCCAAAATGCCGACAACTCGAAATTCGAAAAACGAAAATGCGGACATTCAAAATCCCAGGTGCCAGATTGTCGAGAAGCCCAAATGCAAAATGCCGACATCGAAAATACGACCGGAGTATGCTCGGAATTGTGTCGAGCCTCCATTTTCTTCTTTCGGCATATGCCTTTTTGGCTTGTCGGCATTTGAACTAACGTCATTTTGGCCATCGTTACCCTCATCAGCTTTTGGCATTTTCGCTTGTCGGTATTTTCCAGAAACCAGGCCAAGTTCAAACCTTGTACAGCAAAAACCCGTCCGACGTGTCGCGGAATGTGTTGTTGACCGTGTTGGCCATCAGGAGGTAATCTAGAAAAAGAAAATTAATAATTGGTTAATTAGCGATTTTTTAAGTAAAATAAAGGAAATTAAACGTACCTTTGACAATGCGCTGATAGGTGATGGGCGCCTCGTAGCCCTTGGCGTTTGCCCGCCGGACAGCACACAGCAAAAGTGCGGTAGCCTGGCGCGGGAGGCCTGGAAAATTGGTGTTCAAAATAATTTTAATTTTCAAAAAAATGGGTAAGGAAATAAGTATTTTTTTATGACTGCATCAAGGAAATAACACGCAACTCCTACTGCGCACTACTACAAAATTCACAAGAATCGCCTCTTTCGCTAGCGAAACATTCTATTACAAACAAAAAAACCAAATTTTTGGAGTTTAATCGGTGCTTTGGTGTTATCGGGGAGGGGGAGCAGAATTTTTGCACAGATCCAGAAATGTCTAGTAGCATAAAAAAAAAAAAAAAAAAAAAAAAAAAAAATAATAATAAGTATTTTAATACGGTTTTTAGAAAAATGTAACTATATTCAAGTGTAAATATTTTCTATAAAAATTTTCAAAATTAGAAACCTAGTCGAAAATTTATGTTGTGGAATTTTTTAATTAAGCTTTGTAAATTTTTCACGTTCCGGATAAGCTCTTTAAATAATTGGCTAAAAAAGCTGCCCCCGATAATGCAAGAACCGTCTAAAAATTTCCAAAAAATTGGCGAAACGAGGAATTTTCATTCTAAATTCTTTTCAAATGCACCAACCCTTCCCAATTGTTTTAAAAAATTTGTTAAGAACTTAATCTACCTTCCAACTGTTGCAGCAGCTCGTCATCCCACCCATTCGTCAGCTTCAGCCAGTAGCAAGCCGCCGCGATGAGGGCCTTTTGCGTTGGGTCCTCGTTTTCGAGTAATTCCGCTCGGAGTAATGCTAGCGCGCGTTTGAGGCGATAGAAGGATGTGCAGTTCTGAAAGCCGAAAGTCGGTTAAAGAAGTCAGGAGCGTAAATAATTAAGAAAATCGCATTTAGAGAATTTAAAAGCCGCTTTTTAGTGTTACAACTTGCCAAAAATAGGGTTTCCAGACTGTTTCTTTCAAATTTTATGGCAAAAATCCCTGTAAGTAGTGAAATTCGCAAAAAAAACGAAGGGTGTAAAAGCTAAATAATCTAAAAAAAACCTATATACCAGCTTTTAAAACTTTTTAGGCACTAAAAGATAGCTAAATCTTTCTTTTTCAAATCAAAAAGGCCTGATTGCACCGAAAGTTTCAGGGAATCAGGAGGTTAGAAGCAGTATTTAGAGCTTGCTACAGGTTTTTTTCGTTAAAAACTACTTAAATTACGATTTTCAGGGCCAAATCTTCAATAAAAACTTGAAAAATATACAAAAATTCACCTTTACATGACAATCCTCAAGTAGCGCCACAATTTTCGGGTCGCTCTTCAGCGCTTTTAGCTTCCCCAACACTGGATCGGCCGCCAGAAGCTGGAAAGACAAAGTAAAAACACTCGAAAAAGTTCCTACCTTCTCGTAGTTCTTCAAAAACTCCTGCAACGCTTGTTGCCTCCCCGGGAAGTTGACCTTCTTCGACGAAAGGCGCGACCGGATGCGCTTCTCGACGCTCATGATGAAATCCTGGTGGCAGACGACGAGCACGATGAAAAAGTTGCGCCCCGAGCGGCTGAGGTCGAGCAGCGCGTACAGGAGGCTTTCATTCGATTTCACGAGCGCGTCAGCGCCTAGAAACGGGAAATGAAAAGCTAAAAGCATTTCCAAACCTCTAACCACCAAGATGACCTTATTTTTGGCGGCCTTCTTCGCGTCGTCGATGCGACCCAGGAACTCTGTGTTGTTGCGCATGTCCGCCTCGTGGCCATCGATGAACTGGAGCTTCAGCTTGGAGCACGATTGGCTGGCTTCCTCCCAGGCCTAAAAAAAATTGGTTGCTGACAAGGTTTTAGTAAATTTAGAGTTTTGCTATGAGAAATAGCGTATTCGATAGCGCTTGAAATTCTGAACAAGCTGCAACTCTATAAAAAAACCGCTGGGCTATAACGATTTTTGGAAATAAATAGCTTTAAATTAGCGCATTTGCTCAGTTTAAACTTTGAACAACGTTTTTCTGCAAAAACCGTTATCGTTCAGCAATTTTTTAAGATCCTACTAGTTCAGAATTTTAAGCTCTATCGAATAAACTATGCCACATCGCTAAAACTCGAGCATCATCAGTTTTTTAAAGCCAAAAGTGTCTAAAAACCTGTGTAATCGCCGAACGACGTCCACTCTTCGGCGGCCCGCACACGATCATCGAATCGCCGCTCTCGCCCGCGTGGAAATCGGTGAAGTAGGCGGTGATTTGCCTGAAAAATACATAAAAACTAAATAAAAATACGCGTAGACGTCAAAATACGTAAAATCTCACAAAAACTTACCTTATTTGCTCGTCCACGCCAACGAGAAGGTTCTTCATTGTTGTAGGGGTAGATTTGCACTTATTTCGGCTTTTTCTTTCTTGTTTTTGGGAGCTGAAGGTCTGAAAAGACGGGGAAAGTGAGAATAGAGGTCGGCGATTCGAACGCGCGCGTTTGCCGCCCAAATTCACGCTAGGAAAAGGAGAGATAGAAAACCGGAAATAGATGAATAAAGAAAGCAAAATAAAGCAAAACGAATTCAATAAAAAAATCAGATAGATATTTCTTTGATAAAGCCCCTCTGTAAAGGAAAACCTGATCTTAATTATAATTATCAATTTTAGAAAGAGTATTTTTTGAAACATTGAATTTTTTTTTGAAAAAACACACACACACATCTAACCGGCAATTTTTATAATTTTGAAGCGAAGCATGCTTGTTGGTGAGAAACGAAGCTATTGTTTGTCTTGATTTTTGCACCTTGCTAGCATTTTTTGAAACATTTATTGGCAGAATCCATATAAATGAAATTTTTATGATTTTGCTGAAAACCACGCGTTTTATGCGAAATCGAACCGTGTTCGTATTGGTTTTTCGTTAATTTTTATTAGGTCCCACTTTTTTGAAACATTTATTCGCACCCGTCTTGGCAGAACCCATACAACACCGGAATAATGATTTTTGGGCGTAATACGGCTTAATAAGAAGTATAGTCAGAAAAATAGGCGTAAAAATAGCGATTTTGCATCGATAAAACACAGAAAAGAAGGTAGAAAGCCTCAAATAAAAGTGCTATTGCTGCTCTGCCACTCTAGAAACTTCTTGGACGACATTTTTCGAAGGTTTAGCTTAAAGTCGGAACATGTTTTCTTGATGATCGAGAAGAATTCGGGGTTGAGGAGGCCGTAGAGCAGCGGGTTGATCACCGTTGACGTCATCGCAAGGCTAAAATTAAGGTATTAAATACATTAAGTGATAGTCTAAGTTTATAAGATACAAGATACGTTTTTCTCCCGAGAAAAAGACTGTTTCAATCACCTACGTCCTTACTAAAATTTGGAGACCGTCAATGTTTGTGTGCTTTATACCAGAAATTTGCTTAAAATTTCTAAAGTTTTCCGTTTATAGTTTAGACACGCTTCTCTTTTTTCTATATGAAAAATTGGACCATAAATTTTGTTTTCCTCCCCGATAGTGCAAAAACTATTTAAAGTAAAAATAAACTGTTTCAGTCCCACACGGAAGGGGGGGGGGGGGGAGGGGGGCCGCGCGTCGTGCCTTCCTCGGCTCCTTTAATAAAGTTTTGTAACGTTCAGTCTCGTCGTAATAAAAAATTGCATAAAAAATAAAATTGAAAAATGCTTAATTTTCTGTTTTTCTCTTTTTTGTTCCAATTAAAAGCTTCCAAGTTTAAATATTATAAAAGTTTTCTAATTTTTCTAGGTGATTACTGGTTCATATACATAAGTTGTAATCTACAATTTAGGCTTTTTCTAAAACCTTCAACTCACCAATGCGTCGCCAGGCTGATCACGTAGTTCCAGTTTTGGCCGTATCGATCGAGCACGACGCCGCCCTAAAAAAGTAACTTATTTTATTTCAAATTAAGGTTTTAAATATTTTATATTTTGATCGATTTTCGATATTTTTATAAAAATTAAGGGCTAAAGTCAGCGTCGTGGAACCCAGGAAAATCGCAATTTTTTGTTACAAAAATGATATTCCCTATTTTTGGGTATAGGAAAACTGGGAATTTTTGTTAATTCCTGATCCTTCGGTCACAACCATTTTTAAACTTTTCCTGCGTTTGATTCGAAAATTTTATTGATCTGATTAAGAAAGTTTGAAAGTACCAATTCCTTAAAAAAATTTATTTCAGGCTCTGACCTCCAACCGAAAATTTCATATTTGGTAATATTTTGAACATAGTCACCGGTTTTCATTTATTGCTCTTCAATCTAAACAACTATTTATTTTGATATAAATTTCTATTAAACTATCTGTAATCTTAAAATCATTGCTGTTGCTAACTCAATATCTTAATATAAAGAGTGTAATTAATATTAATTATATTAAATTAGATTAATTACAAAATTAATGATGAATAGTACACATATATAATAGCAATTATGATGTTATTATATTATTGCCCACCTGCGTGTCGATGATCATGGCGACGATATGTTGGGGCAACCAGCAGAAGCCGAACACGAACACCATCGACACGAGCAGGATCGTGTTCTTTCGGGCCCTCGCGATCAGGAACGACTTTTTCGAGATCTAACAAAAATATTAATAAAATTCAACATATTTTATAGGGGTAAATCGGTCACAAACAGCGTAAATGTCATTTTTTAAATTTTCTAAAATAATTGTTTCATTTTATTTCACTTCAGTTCGCGGCTGGTTTTGATTATTTCGCGAAAAATTAGTTTTGAGTTCTTAAATTTTTTCACCAAAAATTTTGTGGATCTTATGGCGAACGAGTTCTTTGAGGCCCCTTAAAAATACTATATTTTTCAAACATTTAAACTTTAGTGTGAAAAATGTGTTTCGTAACAAATGCTTCTCTAAAAACGGCTTTGCGGGACAATCTCCAGTTGTTTTTGAATGGTTTAATGAAAATCGTGAAAACAAAATTTCCGTTTTTTGACATAGTAAATAATTAAACAAAAAACATTTTGCTTTTCACTACAGCAGTTCAGGTGATTTTAAAATAACGTTTTTTATTTGAGGCCCTGGTCCGACTTTTTGAGCTCGTGCTCCATGAAATTATTTTATAGCCGTTAGGAGGATGAAATATTTGAGAAAAAATGTTTTATTTCGGCTCCTTAGTGATGAATGAATCAGCGGAGTAGTAACTTTTGTTTATTGTGCCTCGGTCATCGATCAATCAAAAATCAATTTAAAGGGGGCTTGCCAGCTAGGGTTTATTCCAGATTTTCAAAAAGCTAAAAAGCTATAAGATATTTATGATGCTCAAATATGGCTTGCAGCGAAGAACGCAATACTTCTACCTCAGCCTTTTCCAAAAATATTTAAAAAAATCTATGTTTCGGATCGGTTGATTAAAAAAAGCGTGGGTTGGCATGATAATTCTGAGCTCCCGCGTTGTTTGGATACAACCCCCCTTAAAGGGATGCCGACGGCATAGTCAATCGGTTACGCGCGGAAAAGAAAATGTCTCTGCGCCTCTGCCGTGGACGCGTTCTATCCCCTGTTGGCTACTTGCCAATTTGTTGATGAGGGGGGATCGACACATGCCGTCGGCAGCCCTTTAAAAAATTTGGCTTGACCCGATAGTTTGGATTTTCAGCAGTACAAATTAAAATCGCTAAAGGAAAATGTTAATTAGAAATTTTTAGTTTTGAAAGGGATCGAGAAAACTCTATTTAGATTTAAAAAGCATACTTAATTTTATGGAACAATTTTAAAGGAATCGTGCCATCAAAATCATACCTGTGCGAGGATATCTTTTCCGTGAATCGAGTGCCCGACGGCGCTCATGATCCCCGCCGACGCGAAGAGCACCAGCGAGCGCTCGTTGTATTTTCTGGAATTTCTTAAGGTTTCATCGATATAAAAAAATACAGGTAAATAATTTAAAAATTTTATATTTAATAGGTATGAATAAAGTTTTAATTAAAACCATATATTTAAGCACGCCAGAAAACAAGAAAAATGTCGCAAAATCGCAAAATCGCAAAACCCGAATAATTTGTAATTGGAGCATCCCTCTTGCTCATTCTTTTGAAACACTCAATCAACTTTATTTTTCTAAGGTTTTAGAAGCTTTTTTATTAAATGCCCTTTGAATTTCAATTTAAACCGAGTAAACCAAGAATAACAAATTATAAAAACTAGCAAATTGCCTTTTCTGACAAATAATATAAATCATGAAAACAAGCAGTACTGATGAAAACGCTAAAAAATTTTTATGTTCAAGGCAAGTAAAAAATGACATGTTTCAGCGAAATTGTTTCCGCAAAATTCCATTGATTTCTTAATAGATGCATTTCTTCAATCATTAAAAAATTAAATAAATTTAACTGAGGTTATTTCAAAAGTACGAATTTTGCCTTAAAACTAACACAAATCAAATTTTTACCAAATCGCTTTGAAAACTTCGCTTTGTTATTTTGAAACAAATCGTATGTTTCAGGAATTTTTAAAAAGTATCTGCTTGAGAGCGTGATAATACCGTTTTGATAATACCTACCTTATCTTTTCCTGCGTTCGCATCCGCAGCTGCACAAAGATGCGGTAGTAGCAGAAGAAGATCACCGAGAACGGGACGATGTACTGGGTGAACAGGACGAAAACCTGAAAAACAAAAATTAGAAAAATGAAATTAACTGCTTAATCAATTGTATAAATTGAGATAAAATTGATTAATCATATTTATTAAGCCAAGGTTCAATCAATAAAACACAGTTTGAAACATAATTACCGTATAAATCTTCTGGAGCTCCGGATTCGGCCAAGCCTCCGTGCAAAAATAGCCGCAGTAGTCTTCGGCCTAAAATAAAAGTACACTATTTAAATAGAATATAACTGAACTAAATAATTACTATTTAGATATACTAACCTTTACATGAAACTAAAATGACTTGTAAACTTTTGATGCCCGACAACGTGTCTGAATAATGCCCGACTGGCCCTTTAATTGATGCAAATTTTTGAGACATTAAAATTGGAACAACGAAATTTTGATTTTGCGATTTTGGCTAAATCAAACGATATCCTCAAAATTGATAACAAAATTTGAAATTTTTACTATGACGAAGCTGAAGTATAATAGCACTATTACCATTCAATCTTGTTTTATGTTTAAAAAAATATATAAAATTACGGAGCGATAATTTTTGTTCGACTAATGCCACCAAAATCCTTGCAACTCCTGAAAATTTTGAAACGTAAGAATATTAAAAACAGCTATCATTTTCTTGATTACCTAAACGTGTTTCAGCTCAATGTTTTACCTAGACTTTTTCATCGATTCTAATTCCATTCTTAGGATGACTTGCGCGCTTTTGTTTTGGCGGTATAATTAATAATTTTTCTCAAAGCAAAAGGTTTGAAAATCAACTTTGAGAATTTGAGTGTGACTACAAGTCAAAAAATCTTTACGACCTTGTCAACCTGCATATACATGGCGTACGGTAGGGTGAAGATGGCTGACAGGATCCAGATGACGAACATCACCGGTTTCACAAACTAAATGGTTGTATGTGGTTTCAAAAAAATATAAACATAACGTCTGCGACCAACATAACATTAAATACGCGACGAGTTCAGCAAAAGCAAAAAAAAAGTTGTTTTTTTCAGGGAGAAATCTTCCAATTGTTTTCCAAAAATTCAATGTTTCATAATATTCTAGCGGTCCGCGAGAGCGAGGCAGATTATTGCAGCGTTGTTCTTTATTTGTTAAAACTTTTACGAAATTCTTATTGCTTTGGATCCCGTCTTGACCCTGACTTTACTGCCGCCGCGAGACGCCGCGCGTACGCCAGCGCGACGCTGCGTCTCGCGCGTGGCGCAAATCTTCCGTATCACGAGTGGTACGTTTTTGCTTACATATTTCCTGACGGGCGTGTGCGGCTTTAATATCATGTAGTATCGATCGATGGCAATTGCCGTCAGGCTGAACGTCGCGATGAAGATGGTCACGCCCTGGAAAACTGGGATTTTTGGGAACTTTAACTGAGGCTAAGTCTAAGCATAACCTAAGCCTAAACCTAATCCTAAACGCAAGCCTAAGTTTAAGCCTAAGTTATGCCTAAGCCTAAGCCTAAGCCTAAGCCTAAGCCTACGCATAACCTAAGCCCAAGCCCAAGTCGATTAATAAAACTCCCATGCAAGGGTATTTCGTGAAATATACTCGGTTTATCCGCGTCTAACCACGCCGCATTGTTGCCCTTTCACCTCCGTTTTTGCTAATTTTTCATGAAACATTTTCTCGGAAATTTTTGCGTTTCTTCTTTTTCTTCTTTTCGAACGATTCTATAAAATTCGACGAGTTGAATACCTGAATCCACGGCAGACCATGGCACATCTCGGCGCCAAATAGCCAATTTTTCAGGATGTTCGTGATGGGTGTTAAAGGCAGAGAAAAGACGCAGATGGCCAGATCAGCTACCGAGAGGTTGAGGATGAAGAGGTTCTGGAAAATGCTTTTTCATTAACGCAATAAAAACATTTTAATAATTCCTGAATAATTTAATAATTGGCCCTGAAATCGGCTGCTCAAAATTCCATGAATTTGATCAGCATTATGGATCTATTATTGGTGAAAACTTTATTACGCTTTAGTTAATGGAATTTGAAACATTTGAAATTTTCAAAGCTCAAAACGGCGCAAGCCAAGCACCTGTACGGATTGCAACCGTTGATTTCGCAGCGTGCAGTAGATCACGGACATGTTACCGGCCAGGCCGAGCACGAACATTGTGGAGTATAAGATGGCAAAGGTGAGCACCACCCAGAAGTCGAGCGATGGGTCGTGCTCCTGGAAGATGAGAGTATTTATATGCCCAAAAATTCTCTGTTAGCCTGCCCTCTCCTCTTCCTCAACAATCTCTGCTAGCCTGCCCTCTCCTCTTCCTCAACAATCTCTGCTAGCCTGCCCTCTCCTCTTCCTCAACAATCTCTGCTAGCCTGCCCTCTCCTCTTCCTCAACAATCTCTGCTAGCCTGCCCTCTCCTCTTCCTCAACAATCTCTGCTAGCCTGCCCTCTCCTCTTCCTCAACAATCTCTGCTAGCATGGGCTCTCCTCTTCCTCAACAATCTCTGCTAGCCTGCCCTCTCCTCTTCCTCAACAATCTCTGCTAGCCTGCCCTAATAACCCCAGATTCCGTACCACTTCTATGAACGGGCGACAGTTCGTAGTATTTAGGATGTAGTGCAGCATCGATGGTTTCCGCATCCCTAGAAGCTCGATTACAGAAGCGAAAAAAAATTTGGGTTTACATGAAATTATAAAACATATTTCTAGGAAACAATCGGTTTGATAGATTACATATTTTGTTTTTACTGACCAAAATAGCAAAGAAAGTTATAAAAATTTATATATATCTTTTTCAAACACGATTGTTTAGGCAGCATTTTTGGGCACCATTTCTGCACGTTATCCACACGTATCAGCAGCTGCGGGAAGCTCTACGGTATCGGGGAGCATCCTATAATCCGTTTGGTCCCAATGAGGGACCCAACCCCGAAAAATGAACCCTCAATGGCAAGGAAAAAAAATAAAAAAGATTTGGGCCCGCATCCCCCACCCCAAATCCCAATATTGATGCGTAAACAAAAACTGCGCCCGCGGGATTGGGGGAGTAAAACTATAAAATAATAGAGAAAATATAAGTAATATTAATTTAAGCGAAAATTGAAGTAAAATGGATTAGAATTGGAATGAAGAAAACTTTGAAATTGATTAGGTGGCTAATGCAAAGCGCGCCAAAACACGCAAAAATTTATGTTTCAAAAACCCTTACAATTCGAGATGGCTTGCGTACCTTAATAATCTTCTCTGAAGTTGTAATAAAAATTGGAAATACTAATTGTATGCAACGTTTTTTTGCTAGACTGGATGAAAATTAGCCAGGCAAAGGCCAACAATAATTTTTTTTGGAGGTTAGAATGTTTCAAAGAAAAAAGTAACTCCGAGATTTTAAAAAATTCGATATGAGAAGGGGGATGTCGTTCGAAAAAAACCATCTCTCGAGACAAAATTAATAAGTTTATGGTATATTAATTAATACTTCGATGAAATTTTGCAGAATTTAAGCTAATATATACGCTTTCCAAGCTCATTCATCAAAAAGAACACAAGGATCAAGAAATTCTCGGGGTTTTGCGGGTGAACGCGGAAACCAGGTGAGGGCGTGTGGGACAGGTGAAAATTGAATAAAAACCGAAAAATTGCAAAGATTCGACCACCCGACAGCGAATCGAAGAACATTGGAACAGAGAACACTGTAACAAAAGAAATTGCTGAACATGCAGGTTGCTAAAATTTGCCGATTAAAAAAAAATGTGTTTCCGGGTAGGGAGACTTGTTACAAAAAAGTACCTAAACAATTAATACACCAGTCTACTGGAAAAAAATGAACTTTGGATTTATGTAAAAAGGTCCCGTTTCTTGATCCTACTTTAAAAATGCAACGTTATAGACCTTTGCTAAAGCCTCAGAGGAAAATTGCCACCGGAAAAAAAAATATGTTTCCTTCTCCACTGAATAGCAGGAAAAATCTTCAAGTACAACATACAATGCAACCACTTCTTCGAAACGTTAAAATTCGAAAAAGCATGATTATTCGATGGCAGAATTTTTTCACGATTTGTTTTATTTTATTTTTTTGCACGGCCTTAATCAAAAACAGGCCAAGAATAATCCAAAAAAAATTAAAAATGCAAGTTGCACCTTCAATGGATCAGGCCTACTTTTACACTAAATTTAGTAGGATGAGCGTATCAATTTTAATAGTTTGACGCATTTAGCATACCTTTAGAAAATTCAGCTCAATTTCTGGCAAACTGTGGGCGTCTTTCCCGGATTTTATTCCAGGCAATCCAATTTCCCTCCCCCCAGCCCGGAACAGAAGGAGCTGTGTTTCTTAAAGCGTGCCCCATTCCGGGTTGCTGCCAGCCAGTCAGCCGCCCCGTTTTCCGGTCCACTCCTCCGAACAGACGATGCGATCCGCGCTAATCCCCGCCCCCCGGTATCTTTCCAATACAAAAAAAATTGGAAAGGTTTCTGCGGCTCAGACTTTCAAATTTTGATCTTCTTTGCCGGGCTTAGCTTGTAGCCTTGGGTACCAAGAATCAAAAAAATAGTCTGGGGAACAAAACACAACTTACTTACGATATTGAAATTTAGATCAACATTTTGGTTTTCGAAAATGAAAAATATTTTGTAAAGAATTAAAATGTGCCCTACACTACCAGCCACGTAGCTTTTGCATTATCGGGAGGGGGATTCAGAGTAATAGCGAAAGTGTTTCCAAGCTGTCTTTTACTTTCCTTAAACGCCAAGAATAATGTTTCGCGTTTTCATTGCTTCGGACCGCTTGTAAATTCCATATTGTTGATTCCTAATCTCGTAAGTAAAACACAAAAAAAATAAGTATTAGGTTGGACCGAATCAACGCTTATTTATCAACCTTATTTAAAAATAGCAATTATAAAACAACATCTTTATAAAATTCGCATCTCTAAAAAAATAACTATAAAAACACAAATAATTTATGGGCTACGGTTTACTTTACCCCCCCCCCCCCAGCCGGAAGTTTTTGGTTATAACTTTTTTATTTTACATTATTGTAGGCTCAAATTAAAACTCTTAGTATATTTTTCGACGCTCTATCGAATGGCGTTGCAAAAATCCCGACAAAATAAGCGAAAATACCGAAAACTTTGAGGCCCTTCGGCTGTGGGGGGGATGGGGGGGGGTAAAGTAAATTCTTATCAATTTATGTGTATAAAATCACCTAATTCGACAATAAATTTAACTTTTTTGTGAAAACTTCTTTATTAGGAATCATTAGCATAGACAGGAAGTGGGCATCCGACTATCTCATTGGCCAGGAGAGGTGGTTTTCATTTTTTGGCATCCGAACTTAGGACAATTATGCAAAGTGAAGGATCAAATGACGTCGGACGGGGCCAGAGTTGAAAAGTCGTGAAGCGAAGGCGACCCTGGTTCTTAATTAAAAAATAAACCTAGAACCTAGTTATGAAAATCAAGAAAGGTATAATGTTTCGAGTTTTTACTGCTTTGGAGCTTTCATGCAGACCGTAATTCCGAGTAAATAGATGGAGCAGAACAAGAATACACGTTCCGGGGCCGTAGGGGGGCGTTACGGCATTTTGGTCGTTGCTTAGAACAGAGAGCGTGTGTGGGTGGTCATGGTGGTCGCGCGTTTTCCCTAAATCATCAAATCCCTCCCATTTCGAGGTATCAAAACAACCCCAACTGCGCTATTGTCGGCCGCAATTTTTGGCCCCGACTTATCCGTCTCGATTTCAAAAAGAATTTTTCATTCTGGCGGCTTAGAACACTTTTCCGAGATGAAAGTTTGTCTGCGTGCGAATGGAGTGGGTTTTGGCTGTAAAGGGAGGGAGGAACTTGGGCAGGCTAGCAGAGATTGTTGAGGAAGAGGAGAGGGCAGGCTAGCAGAGATTGTTGAGGAAGAGGAGAGGGCAGGCTAGCAGAGATTGTTAAGGAAGAGGAGAGGGCAGGCTAGCAGAGATTGTTGAGGAAGAGGAGAGGGCAGGCTAGCAGAGATTGTTGAGGAAGAGGAGAGGGCAGGCTAGCAGAGATTGTTGAGGAAGAGGAGAGGGCAGGCTAGCAGAGATTGTTGAGGAAGAGGGAGAGGGGCAGGCTAGCAGAGATTGTTGAGGAAGAGGAGAGGGCAAGCTAGCAGAGATTGTTGAGGAAGAGGATAGGGCAGGCTAGCAGAGATTGTTGAGGAAGAGGAGAGGGCAGGCTAGCAGAGATTGTTGAGGAAGAGGAGAGGGCAGGCTAGCAGAGATTGTTGAGGAAGAGGAGAGGGCAGGCTAGCAGAGATTGTTGAGGAAGAGGAGAGGGCAGGCTAGCAGAGATTGTTGAGGAAGAGGAGAGGGCAGGCTAGCAGAGATTGTTGAGGAAGAGGAGAGGGCAGGCTAGCAGAGATTGTTGAGAAAGAGGAGAGGGCAGGCTAGCAGAGATTGTTGAGGAAGAGGGGAGGGCAGGCTAGCAGAGATTGTTGAGGAAGAGGAGAGGGCAGGCTAGCAGAGATTGTTGAGGAAGAGGAGAGGGCAGGCTAGCAGAGATTGTTGAGGAAGAGGAGAGGGCAGACTAGCAGAGATTGTTGAGGAAGAGGAGAGGGCAGGCTAGCAGAGATTGTTGAGGAAGAGGAGAGGGGGGCAGGCTAGCAGAGATTGTTGAGGAAGAGGAGAGGGCAAGCTAGCAGAGATTGTTGAGGAAGAGGATAGGGCAGGCTAGCAGAGATTGTTGAGGAAGAGGAGAGGGCAGGCTAGCAGAGATTGTTGAGGAAGAGGAGAGGGCAGGCTAGCAGAGATTGTTGAGGAAGAGGAAGAGGGGCAGGCTAAGCAGAGATTGTTGAGGAAGAGGGAGAGGGCAGGCTAGCAGAGATTGTTGAGGAAGAGGAGAGGGCAGGCTAGCAGAGATTGTTGAGGAAGAGGAGAGGGCAGGCTAGCAGAGATTGTTGAGAAAGGAGGAGAGGGCAGGCTAGCAGAGATTGTTGAGGAAGAGGAGAGGGCAGGCTAGCAGAGATTGTTGAGGAAGAGGAGAGGGCAGGCTAGCAGAGATTGTTGAGGAAGAGGAGAGGGCAGGCTAGCAGAGATTGTTGAGGAAGAGGAGAGGGCAAGCTAGCAGAGATTGTTGAGGAAGAGGATAGGCAGGCTAGCAGAGATTGTTGAGGAAGAGGAGAGGGCAGGCTAGCAGAG